GCCACACATAATGCTGGACCCGATAGACTTTCGAATATCCAATCCTACACTAAGGTCGAATATACATTCTTAGGCTAAAGATGTTGATTATACACAGCCGTGATGCATACACTAAACATCTACAGTTAAGATGTCAATTCCATATACAAGAAACCCTAGGCTAGTAGGCATCATATAGCCAGGCAAATCTTATCATGCGATTCCTGAAGACTCCTCGCCTAGCACTAGCATGCTGTTCTATCATATCATAATATCAAATGACTGTATGGTATTTTCGGGTTTACTTACAGGCTCCGGCTGATCGTACCCTCTGCATCCTCCATCCTTTATTTTGAAAACCCTTTTAGAATTTATTCTGAAATTTCCCTTAGATTGAGAATGGCTTTACACGTGTGTTTCCCCCAATTCACTCAAACCAAGGCTCTGATACCAATTTGTCACATCCAAAAAGTTTACGCCAAATTTAAACTTTTTCAATCATAATTAAAACCAAATAGGATTTGCTTACAAAATGTTTTCAAATAATTATTCATCACAGTGTCCTAATAACTAAATTAAAAGGATGAGGAGCGGTACGGTCACACCTTCACCTTGCCATGATCTATTGATGTACCTGAAACAATAAAATGAAACTGTAAGCCCGAGGGCTTAGTGAGCTACCCCCAAAATACCAACACCACACAATTAATACCATATCAATAACAGATAATCAACAACATGCTTACTGGGCCATCGGCCTGACTGGACTGCCTTGTAGGGCCAACAGTCTATCTGAAGCTATCCCGAGCCTTTGGCATAACTGGACCATCATGTGGGCCTACAGTCTCCCGGACCGCTCATAGGGTGTGTTGGCCTTCAGCACAAAGCAGGACCACCTCAACCCAAACAACAAGCAAATAACCATGTGCGCATAACTAGCATATACTGGCATATATAAACATAGACATATCTATCTCACTGATCATCAATCATAGCAATCTCTCATAAATAGAGCATTGACATAGCAGGTCACTATCATACCAATCCCTACGGATCATAAGAGCATAACATATTGTCTATCCTGATTCTGATCTAATAGATCATAACCATAGGTAGCATACTATAACAATAACAACTAAAGGGCCGACCTTGGTGTCTTAGACCCTATTGATATAGTGAGGATGACTCACCTTGCAGATGTCGACTTGATAGATAAACTTCAACCCTTGGATCACCGCCCGAAACTCCACCACCAGATACCATAGCATAATCATACTCATAAGTTCTCAACCTCTTTCAAGGTATCTCATAATCCAACTAATCGAACCCTGATCAATGTCAAAGTCATTAGTCAAGGTCAATAGTCCATGTTGACCCTAACTCGTTGAGTTCCATCGGCTACTCGCCGAGTTCCTTGAAGTACTTGCCCACTCGCCGGGTCATCAAAGTGACTCGTCGAGTTCCTTCGGTTTATGATCCAAACCCTAAGGACACTCTTCGGGTTTCCTTCTTGCAACTCGATGGTTACACACACACATAAATTAGGGAAACGTCAACCGACTCGCTGAGTTGTTCATCCAACTCATCGAGTCTACAACAATCTTCATCGGACTCGCCGAGTTGTTCATCCAACTCGTCGGGTCCATGCTCATCTTCATGAGACATGCCGAGTCTACCTTGCGAGTCGCCGAGTTCCTTCAGTCCTTAAGCCATACAGACTCTTTTAAGCCATGCAGTGGCTCCAAATTACAGATTGAAGCTTCTAAGGCATGCTTTTCACGTAAACTTGCAAACTTTACGTGCATGCATAGCTAGAAGGACTCCAAATGTCAAATCCAAGCTCATAATGGGGTTTCATACTTCAAAGGGGCTTCATAAGTGACCACATTTGGGGCTTTATGACTCTAGAACCCAAGAAGGGTCCATATCTAAAGTTACAACTTTAGATCTAGCTCATATCCCACATTATCATCTCAACCAAACCATAAAAACCCTAGATCTCAACCAAAAGAGGTCTAGGAGAAGAATGAAGTAAAGGTGACGACTTGATACCTCCTAATGATTCTATCTGAGGTAGATTCCTCATTTCCCACACCTCCTTGTCCCTAGCCTTTTATCCTCCAAGCTCTTCTTCTCAAAATATCTCCTATCCAAAGCTTTAGACACACAAGAAAGAAGCACCAAACGAATTAGGGTTTTCTAAGCTCTCAATGTACTGCAAAGAGGCCAAAGGAGGCTTATGCTTCCTTAAATAGGGTGAAAAACCCAAGATTTAGGGTTTCATCTGCCATCTCCTACTTGTCGAGTCCCTTCATAGACTCGGCGAGTAGGCCACTAAATACGCATCCCCAACCTGCTGCTACTCGGCGAGTAGGACAACCCACTCGTCGAGTAGACCTCAAAATCAAAGAAATTCATACTTAAACAATACCTGAGAATCGGGGAGTTACAGAAGATCTCTTATTCCTCCCGTCTTAGGTACCCAAATCTGATCTTGGAATACCTTCAGTCCTTGACTGTTTGTACGAAACACTAACGTTTTGCCCAAACGTTCTTCCTTTTGATCGACCTTCTCTGAAGCTTCTTTTTGCACTTTCCTGATACTTTCCACAATCGTCGAGACAAATTCTATTCTCAACGCTCTTGGCCTTTTCCTTTCAAGTTTGACTTTCCTACTGAGAGCATCAACAACAACATTTGCTTAACCGGGGTGGTAAAGTATCTCAAATTCGTAGTCCTTGAGTAACTCTAGCCAGCGTTGGTGTCTCATGTTCAATTCCTTCTGATTGAAGAGATACTGGAGACTCTTATGATCAGTGAAAAGCTTGCACTTCGTGCCATAGAGGTAATGCCTCCATATCTTCTAGGCAAAAACTACCGCTGCCAACTCCGGATCATGAGTGGGGTAGTTCTTTTCATGCTCCTTTAATTTTCGAGATGCATATGATATCACCTTTTCTCTTTGGGTCAGAACACATCCCAACCCGACTCCCGACATATCGTTATATAGCGCGAAGTCTTCAACTCCATCGGGTAGAGAAAGGATCGGTGCTTCACATAATTTCTTCTTTAGCTTCTCGAATGCTTCTTCGTGCTTCTCACTCCATGTATAAGTTGCTACTTTATGGGTCAAAGCTGTTAATGGAGCAGCTATCGAAGAAAAGCCTTGGATAAATCGTCAGTAGTATCCAGCTAATCCCAGAAAGCTTCAAATCTCTGTGGGACTTTTCGGTCGTTCCCACTTCATCCGCTTCGATTTTTACTGGGTCAACCATTATCCCTTCTTGGTTAACCACATGACCTAAGAATTGGACTTCTTGGATCCAAAAATCACATTTGGAGAACTTTGCATACAAATTCTCCTTCTTCAATACTTCTAACACTTCCCGCAAGTGTTTGCCATGCTCTTATTGACTTTTCGAGTAAATCAGAATGTCATCTATGAACACTATCATGGATTTATCAAGGAATGGTTTACAAACCCTATTCATCAAATCCATGAATGCTGCCGGATTATTGGTCAGTCCGAATGACATAACGAAGAACTCGTAGTATCCATATCTCGTTCTGAATGCAGTTTTCTCAGTATGCTGCTCTCTTAACTTCAGCTGATGATGTCCTAACCTAAGATCGATCTTTGAGAAATATCTCGAACCTTGTAGTTGATCAAATAGGTCATCAATCCTCGGAAATGGGTACTTGTTCTTCACCGTTGCCTTGTTCAGCTCTCGATAGTCTATACACATTCTAATGCTTCTGTCTTTCTTCTTCACGAATAGCACCGGAGCTCCCCAGGGTGATGAACTAGGTCGAATGAAACCGTTGTCCAACAATTCCCGAAGTTGCATCATAAGCTCCTTCATCTCCGTCGGTGCTAATCGGTACGGTGCCTTCATTATCGGTGTTGTTCCTGGTAACAAGTTTATTCTGAACTCTACTTGTCTATCAGGTGGTAATCCAGGAAGATCTTTGGGAAAGACTTCCGGATAATCACACACCACTAGTATACTCCGCACCTCCTTTTTCTCCTTCTTTGCATCGATCACAAATGCCAAGTATGATGCACATACCTTGGATAAACATTTCCTGTCTTTCATCAGGGAAATGATTCTAGAATTTAATCACTGTTTCTGCCCGTACACCATAAATGACTCTTTTCCGTGCGGGTTCACCCTTACTATCTTCTTCCTGCAAAGAATATCAGCATCGTTGGCGCTAAGCCAATCCATTCCTAGAATGATGTCAAAACCGTTCAACTCTATAGGCAACAATTCTTCGTGGAATTCGTTTCCGTTTAGGTCAATGACGATGTTCCTAATACGATCACTAACATGTACGAATTTGCCACTGGCAACTTCCGCAGTTAGGGCATTATCAAGTTTTTCTACAGGCAACTAGTTTCCCACCAAACTTATGTGACATAAAGGAGTAGTTTGCTCCGGAATCAAATAGTATATTAGCAGGAAAACCTTTTACAAGGAAGGTACCTGAAGCGACATCTACTACCTCCTTTTCAGCTTCGAGCATCATCTGGAAGGCTCTGGCCTTCAGCTTTGGTGGAATGTTGGGTATTTTCTAATTATTTCTTCAATTAAGAAAAGGAGAGAGAACTAAAATAATAGACTAATCGTTCTAGGTATTCTTTCTCTTACCCCATTCGGATGGATCTCATCTCATAATTATCCATGACCGTTTATGTCTCTAGCATGAGCACTTGATGAAATGTGGAGAGAATTGGGGTAAATGGCCGATACTACTGGAAGAGCGGAGATAATTGTAATCATATACATATAAAATGATAGTAATGGAATGGCAATCCCCCAGTTTGGTTTGTAAAGTCTCTATTCCTTGGTAATCAAATCCCAAAGATCTATGAATTAGCCCATGCTTAACTAGCCAAGTAGACAAATGACCCTGCATATTTTTTATCTCTCCCACATTTTTTTATAAGTATTTCACATTTACGATGAAATTTATGAAGATTGAGTCGCAACTTTGTATTCTGTGCAAAGGAATCCTACCTAATTTACTAATTCAGGGGAAGATACTGAACTTTTGTATTTGAAAAATGTTTCAAGAGGAATATCTGAAGTAGATGTCGGTTGATAAAGAAATCCTTGATCATAATTTCCAGTATGAATACTATGCCCAACCTGAAACATGTGATTGGTAGTAAAACAACGATTCTCTTGCTGAGACATAGTTTTATCTGGATAGATTTCTCGAGATATTTTTTTACGAAGTTTTGTTATAGCATCTATAATTGCTTCTGGTTTAGGTGGACATCCCGACAAATATACATCCACATGAATTAGCTTAGAGACCCAATCTTGGGTGAAATAAATACCGCAACTTCTATCTTTTTCAATAAAATCATCACGCAGTAAATCAACAAAGCCCAAAGTGATTTCTATTTCCCCTTTAAGTTTACCTACTACGGTACCAGAATGAATATGATATCCACCAGATATACGTAACGCTTTAGCTAGTACATGGAAATGTATACCATGATTCTTCTGTCTATCAATAACTGCATGCATTGCGCGGTGGATGTGAAGAAGTAGACCATTATCTTGACAATAATGAGTCAAGCTAGTATTTTCAGTAAATCCCCCTGTTAGGTAGTCATGCATTGCGATAGGAACTCCCAATTCTCTGGCAAATATTGCCCTTTTTATCATTTCTTCGCATGTACCCGCAACATAATATCAGATTTGGGAGGAAGATTAGAATTAGAGATTGATAGAAAAACAAGGATATGGGTTCGCGTGAGTAGGCATCAAAAACTATCTATTCTAGTCCTATTATCAGCTATGGGGTTGAATATAAGAGAAATTTGTGACAACCATCAAATTCTGGTCAATTCAAAGTCAAATAAAGTCAACAAGTCAAACCGGTCAACTCAAGTAACCCGTGTGTACTAGGGCTTATGTTAGGTAAATACTATACAACTCGCTATGCTAATGAGAAATCATCAATTGAAAAGTTCGTATATGTAAATTTCATTAACCTAAAACTATGGTAAGTAACGAACCAAACCAATAAAACAATGTTGCATACTCATCGGGAGTGTGTAAGATCCTTAAACATGGCTTAACGGGGTTATAGACCTTGCGTTATGGAGCCAAGCACTCAAAAAGGTCACAAAAGAAGCTTCTGCCAATCTCTCACTCTATCTCTCTATATTAAAAATCTCTCCTAAATCTCTCTTAAAAGTTCCTATAATATTTTTGAAATCATTCGAGTCATCCCGACCCTTACCCGGGTAAAAAACCGCTTAAAACAGGGCAAAAATGAGTAAAATAGCCTTTAGGAGCCGAAACCCTCTCTTAAGGAGCGAACCCTCCTATGAACTGAGGGTCCCTATAGGGACCGAACTGCTGAAGAACAGAGACTCCAAGGACCTAACCGAACCTCCTGCGAACCAAAACTACCAAGGCCAAAACCTGAGAGACCAAACTGAGGAGGAGAACCGAACCTCGCATAGACCAAACCCGAAGGTCCTCTCGGACCGAACCCTACCTTCGCCATCGCCTCTTACCCCTTCGCTCCATTTCACCTTCGGGCCCAGCAGCATTAGGACCAAAACTCGGCCCAGAACCGAGAGGTCTCACAGGTAAGCCAAATTCTCCTGGTTTTCGACTAGTTTTGCATTTTAGGCCCGTATTTAATTATTTTTGCTAGAACGTAGTTTTATCAGGATCGATTGATTCTAAGCATGGAAACAAATAAGTACGTAAAAGTAAACACGAATATGGCTTGAATAGGTCGAATGATTAATACTTCAACACCTCAGAAGAGCTCGATTAAGAACTTCGACTGTAGAGGTGTTTTAGTGTTACAAAATTCAAGCGTAATTAAAAAGACGTCTAACAATAATGCATACATGCATGCATATATATAGTCTAACCCTAAGAGATAATCATGGATGGACAAGCCCAATCCAGATATATACAAAAAGCCCTAAGACACTACACACTAAGCCCCAACAATCTCCCCCTTTGCATCTTTGGGACCGTGACTTCAACTTTATTTAGCCACTGAAGGCTTCTTCACCGTCTTGAACACTCTCAGAATGATAGCTAACAGATGGTACCGAAAGGTAATGTACCACCGAAGCATATCAGTAAAATTTTTATTATCAGCATCTGAGTTCTGGTTGCACCGATGTATCAAATTGATAATGTGCTCCAAGCAGTCAGTAGAAAATAGATGCTTATCTACCAAAGAGAACAAGAACCTATGAGCTTCACCTTTCGTAAACATCACAGTCAGATGGGTTGAATCAATTTACCCTATCTTCATCTTGTTCACATCTCCTGGCTTTTGAGTAGTCTTGACCGTCGGCTTCTTATTCATCACTTTTGCTATCTCCTGATCCATTGTTTGCAACTTCATAGATGTAGGAGGCCAACATTCTTTTTAAGTGCTCCAAAATCGGCTCATACTCCTTCGAATTAGTGAGCAGAATGTTGTATAGCAGTATCCAACCATGTGGATGAAGATTGGGAAGATCTGCTAAATATATCATCGAGACAAAGTTTGCAGACCCTCGTGTGATCTTGAAATGCACATTCAAAAATTTTCCAGTTGGAGTTGGTTTCAATACCTTGACAGTTGTAATTTTCTGCACACTCCATGTCAGGTGTTGAGATTGGCCATACTTTAAGTAAAAGTTGATGAGCTCTCAGTCAACCTTTGGATTTGGAAAGGAACCTCAACAGTTGAGTCAAAACAATGAAATATAAACGCCTTCCTTGTAATTGGCATATCAAACTGTGAGTCCTTTGAATTTTCGCAGTGAAAAGAGGCAATTAGTTCCAACCAATAGACACTCGGTGATTCAATTGCTTGACTGATCAACACATCGCTTGTCCATTCAGGAAACAGAGCCTTCTTGCACTACAAGATATCTTCTTCTTCTTTATTGCGCCTCTCTGTTTCCTCATCCTCCTTTGTGATTTTTAAATTTTCATCTAATTCTTTATCTCTCTTCTTTCTTTTAAGGGCATCAGCAATAGTTTCTTCAACATCACTATTACTGTCGTTGATAATCTGTTTCAGCTTATCTTGTGGACCAGAGCCTGAAGCTACATTATCCTTCAGTTCTTGTGTTACAATCACTTTTGGTGGTCCCTCTCCCTCTTGTTTTGGAGTAATGAAAGGCTCCAAAATACCTTTCATTTCATGAAGCATGGCAAGAGCAGGGAGCAGTTTGGTAGTTAAATGATTGCAGATGGTGAGAGTGAGAATCGGATCATGTGCACCAAGGAGATTGGTCAACATGTCCTTGACATCGTTTGCATAGCTGCGGAAGACGGCTCTCTCTATTTTCACCAATGAAATTTCCTTCTCCGCTTGAGCAAGTTGGACTTGCTGAACTGCAATTGTAGAGGCTTGACGAGCTATCTCTTCCTTCAAAGCACCCTCTTTGGCAATGTCTGCATGCAGTGAGTCCAGTCGAGAAGAAACTGAACCGATCAGAGAAGCGTTGCCAGCTTTGATGGAGGAATGAACATCATAAAACTTCTGTTGTTCTTCCTTCAGAGACTGTGAGAGAGATTCAACGGATTCACAAATTTTAGCAGCATTCGTATCTGCATGCCCTTTCAAAGAATCTAAAAATATCTGCGTGGTGAGAATAACGTCAGCAACATCAGCAGATGCGTTCTTGCAAGTTGAATTTGATTCCTTGATGGAATCGGGTTATTTATCCATAGGTTGTGTATATTTCTCTATAGCTGTCTCCACAAATGCTTTGAGAACAACCCCTCCATAAGCTTTATTATCTGCAAGCAGCTTATCCAGCTTCACATGAATGCTCTGTAAATGTTGGCGGTTAACAGGAGCATCAGTGTCTTCATCAGACTGAAGCCGATAGGGACTAAAGTATGTAGAGTCATACTCATCATTGTCACCTCTCAGAGTAGCACCTGACTCTGTTGAATGGGTTGAAGAGATGGGTTTAGAGATAACTGGGGTTTTGGTTTTAGTAGGTGCCCCTGTATCAGATATGTTGACCCTTGTTATTTGCTCTAGAAGTGTAGTGGTGGTGGTTTGGGTAATGATTGATGTTGATAAAGTTGTTAGAGAAATAGAAGCAGAAGGAACTGGTGGTGGTGGTAGAGAGGTTTCTGTTGTGGAAGTGTGAACAACCAAAACTCGGATTTTGAGTGTCGGCTTTGGAGGTGTTATTTTTGATGATAGAGGTGGGGTTGGAATTTTATGAGGTGGAGATTCGGTTTGTGGAGGTGATTTGGGAGATGCTTTCTTGCAAGTAGAACGTCAGCAACATCGGCAGATGCTTTCTTGGAACTAGAAGTCGATTCTTTGATGGCATCAATTGATTTATCCATAGCCTGTGTATATTGCTCGATGGCAGTCTCCACAAAAGCTTTAGTAACTACCCCTCCATAAGCTTTGTTATCTGCAAGCAACTTATCCAGCTTTTCATGAATGCTCTGTAAATGTTGGTGGTTGACAGGAGCATCTGTGTCTTTATCAGATTGAAGTTGATATGGATTAAAATAGGTAGAGTCATACTCATCATTGTCACTACCGAGAGTAGCACCTGACTCGGTTGAGTAGGTTGCAGAGATGACTGGGGTTCTGTTTCAGTAGGTGCCCCGGTATCAGATACGTTGACCCTTGCTGTTTCTTTAGGAAGTGTAGTGGTGGTGGTTTGAGTAATGATAGGAGTTGATAATGTCGTTGTAGGAATGGAAACAGAATAAACTGGTGGTGGTGGTAAATATGTTTATGTTGTGGAAGTAGTAACAACCGAAACTGTGACTTTCGGTGTCGACGTTGGGGTTGTCAGTTTCGCTGATGGAGGTGTGGTTGGAATTTTGTGAGGTGGAGATTCAGTTTATGAAGGAGATCTAGGAGGAGTATTACCTCGTGGAGATTCGGGAGGAACGTCATCTTCTTCATCATCTTCAGGATGATCCGGACTTGGAGGAATTTGCTGTTTTGATCTCCTCACCATTTTTTTTATTATTTTCTTTGGCTTTGAAGAGGACTCCGATTCTGACTTTCGCTTTGTGGATTTAGAGGGCTTAGGTTGTTCCTCTTCCATTGTTTCCTTCTTTGTTGTCAACCGCTTTCCTCTGTTTCTAGGCTTGTCAACAGCTTCTAAGGCAACTTTTTACTCAGGAGTAAGAACTATCGGCTCCTTGGGTGGAAGTTGTCTATAATCATCCATCACCTTACTCTCGACTGTAACACCCCTGTACATGGTCTTCGGAATGGAACCATAATAAAGAAACTTTGTGGGGTCCGAGATGATGATCTTCTTGGTGTGAAAAGTTGCAATGTATGCGATGAGAGCATCCTTCATCACCGGAACTTCCAGAGTGTCGATTGCCCTTCGGGTAATGAGGGTCCAAAACCTTCCACATGAAATCTCGGACCGACGATTGGAAGTGTTTAGACATTACACAACTTGTGACCATATGATAGACTCATAGTCCAGGTTTATACCATTGTACAGACCATAGAGAATGGTCAAGAAACCTTTACTGGTCCCATCTGATCCAACACTTCTTTCTGCCAAGCCTTTGATTAGTAGAGTGAGAAGACCGTTCCACTGAGATGGCAGACACGACTTCTTGAATTTGGCGATGGTTGTCAGCACATCTATATAGCCCATTTCATATATCATTGAGAAGATTTGTGCTGT